CTAACCCATATTTTCTACCTTTTTTGACAAATTGTAGGTCTGGGTTGTTGAAGTTGCTTCTCTTTGGTTGAAGGCTTGAATTGATTCTCTCCTTGCCTTGGTAAGTCTTGATGGTTTGAGGATAAGAGTTATTCTTTCTAGTTTCCGTTTGTCAAGCTCCTATTGATGCGAGTACTATGAAAATATGGAAATAAGGACGAATCTCCAAATACTAACCCAAGCCATGACGAACCAAGTCAATAGTGATACTAGGACCCATGTAAACCCCAATCCAAGTACAAACGCTTCAATGATAAGGGATTTCACAAGAGTAAATCCTCCTATTTTTTTGGCTCCAAAGTGGAAATGGGTTTATTGATAAGATGTATAAGGTGCTTGATACTGTGGGGGTGTCTCCACAAGATAAGGCGGAAATAGCCACCTACCAATTGAAAGATGTGTCTCATGTTTGGTATGATAAATGGAAGGGTGAGAGACTCGTAGAAGCGGGTCCGGTAGATTGGGAATTGTTCAAGTCTGTCTTTTTTGGTAGGTTCTTTCCCATAGAGTTGAGGAATGAAAGACGAAATAATTAATCAACCTTGACCAAGGAAGTATGAGTGTGAAAGAATATGACCTTAAGTTCATCCATGTGTCTAAATATGCTCCAACCTTGGTGGCGGACTCTAGGGCCAAGATGAACAAATTTGTTATGAGGATATCCGACTTGGTAGTCAATGAACCTCGTTCGACAATGCTCACCCCAAGTATGAATATTTCATGTCTTATGGTTCATACCAAACAAATTCAGGAACAAAAGCTCAAGCAAGTAAATACGGAAGTGAAGAGAGCAATATCCGATGATGGAAATTCTTCCAAAGGTAAATTTAAGTGTCAATGTATATTAAAGTTCAAGAAGAGGTTCTCCAACCAAGGCTACTATAAATATCCAAGGTTCAACAAATATAGGGTTTCTAGCCCTAAACAATAAGAAAGTAGTAGTTGTGGTTCTTATAGTTATAGGCCTAATTACAGAAAGTGTGGTAAGAAGCATGATTGTAACACTCCGAAAGTTCCATGACTTATCCTAGAGCCTCACCTATTAAATAGTGGTTAAAATTATGTTTCCAGACCTATATTAATGTAATAAACTTAACTAAAAAAGGTTATAGCTAAAACGACAAAGAAATACCTTGACGTTTGGAAACTAGCTTAATTGAACTAGTAGACGTCCCCATGTTGGTGAAGGTTTGGGAGTGTCATATGAAGTCTAAAATTTGTAAAAAGACTTTAAATATCTAAAATATAGTATACATGGTCAAAATTTCCATTAAATACTCCCAAGGACCACCCGAAGGGTACTTAAGGAGGACCCGAACATTGGCAAGTAGGACGCCAAAGCAGTCTGCGTGCAGCCAAGATTTGAAGGGTGTCACGCGTCGCGCAGCTGATACTGGATGGGAAAAATTTTCACCGCAACGCCGGGTCTTCACGATCCTCACTGCCTCAAACCGGATTTTTGAAAAAATATTTGAAATTGACCCCGCGATGCGTAGCAACTTTCTAGATTCGTTCGCGTCATTTTTTTAGTCAAATTGACTTCACAAAAAGACCCAATTTGATGAGGGTTATTTTGGATAATTTAGGGAAAGAATATATATTGGTTTTAGGTCATCTTTAAGACATTTTAACCCACTCAAATCAAATCCCAAAGAGAAATCAAAATCACTCTCATCTCTCTCCCAAATTCTCCCTTTCCTAAAGATTCCATTGAAGAAGATTAAGAAGGTCAAACTAGGTATTCAATATTCAAGATTTCTTCTACAATTATAAATAATTAACAAGTTATAGAAGCTCTTCACTCTTGGGAGCCCTTTCCCCAAGAGGTTTGTTTAAAATATGATTTCCATGTTCTTCAAAAAATGGGTTTTCTTCCATATTCGTAATTTGTCTTTCAAATTGATTTCTTATGATGTCGCATTGATTATTATTGATATATTATGGTTAAATTATGGTTAATTGCTTTAATTCTTGGTCTTTGACCTAGATTTCATGAATGACCAAGACTTACCCCTTTTCCCTAACCCTAGATATGAATTGAACTTGTATATGATTAGAGTTGATGGAATTGATTATAGTATTGTTTAATTCACTATATTATGATGAAAATAATGTGGATTTTTAGGTAATTATGATGTATTGATGGTAATATCTTGAAGAAGGTCTTATGAAGGCTATGTGGTAAGACTTTGTGATCTTGATCCTTTACTTCAATAACGATGGATTATACTTGATGATGATGTGAAATTGAGGTATTATATGTTATTAGATTTATACTATGATGTTATTATTATATGATGCCTTAATATTTAAAGGATGGTTGTGAGGTCTTGATAGGGATATGATCATGCAAGTTTGAGTGTGAACTACTTGTGTGCCTTATTATGAATTGATTATGATGACTTCACTAATGATGGTGTGGATGAATAGTATTTCTCATTCTATACCAATTGAGCTAATGACATGACTATACAAGGTGTTATTCTCTATTACCTATACTATGGTTGACTTAAAGTCTTATGAAAAAAGGACTCTAGCTTAGCACCGAGTGAACTAGTAGTGAGGAGTGTCCCTTCCCAAGTAGGGAAGTTAGGTTCACTATATTCTCATGATATATATTTTACAATGTCAATGGCATAAAGAGGGTCTCTACAAAATCTCTTAAATCTTGAACTATGTTGCCCCTATAGGAATACTAGCTAGTGGATAAAACTAGAGGCTATGTACATCTTTGGTTCTACCTTGGCAAGTAGACCACCTTCTTTTGGTGTAGCGTTTCATGACATCGGATTCCACATTTAGCTCATATAGTGTATGTCGGTTAAGGCAATTATTCCCTAAAGTAAAATGAATGACTAAATGTAAATGAAGATAGATATTGATTAAGATGACTTGAGGGGTGTACTTAGGATAATTAGGGGTATGGAACTCTACATAGATATTGCACATGTTAACTCTAAAGGGAGTCCTAGGATATGGTCTTACGCATTATGATGTCATGCAATATGAAATGTTGACTTTATATGATGACACTCTTATATGATGTTGCTATGTTGATGAACATGTTATTGGTCTAAATTGATATATGTGGTGATGACTATATATGATATATGATATATAAAGCAAAGCATTACTTATGGTCTCCAATCTTGTTTACTTGATTATGTGGGGTTATGAGGCTTCTTATGAGCATTACACTTGTAGGCTTGGGATGGGATTGTCGGTAAGGGTTTTACATGATATGTTGATATGAACTATTGAACATGATATGTTGATATGATTCTTATGTTTATATGTCTTTGGTTATGGACATGTTTTATGTTATTGTGATCCTTATATTGTATATGCTCTCTTGTATGTGCATTAAAGGCTTTCCAAATGACATAGCATGCTTTCAAAAGAAATGGTCCCTTTCATGCATGCTTTCAAATGTTTTGTGTGTATTGTTTCCATACTTAGTACAAGTGGTATACGAACCCATATCTCCTATATTTTCTACAAATATGTAGGTTCCAGCCATTGAGTTTCTAGGAGGCCTATTGAAGAAGACTTGGATCTCTTTCTCCAAGTGTTGGTAGGTCCTCATGTTTGGGGATGTTACCTTTTTAACATTCTAGCTTTGTAATAATATTGTCCTAAGACATTGTTCTTTCCATTCTTATTTCAGACATTGTTGTAAGCCTATATGGCGTATTGAAGTTGTAATGGATAAGTCCAATATTGTACTCGTCTAGATGGTTTTATGTGAGACGATATTATTAGACTATCTTTTGTATATGGATTATGTTGTCTAATAGAGAAGACTAAGTAAGCTTCTTATGCGAGGAGTCTAGGTAAACTCCCTATACAATATGTGAGAAGCATAAGTACAGTTGACTACGTATATGTAAAAGTTTTAATTTTTTCGTGTTTTAGACTATGATGTTTAATGATGAATGTTAAGGGCTTATCTAAGTCCTCTTCGAGGATGACGATGCTGGTTACATCTAGGGGTGCTCCCCGGATATGACAAACTTTGTATCAGAGCATGAGGTTAAATAACCCTAGCATTGATGTCTCATTAAACCACGTCTATATAGATTCTTATTCATAATTGTTAAGCACGCCACACTTATGAATGAGAGACTATGTGATGCTTAGGAAATTCTCATCCTCTTAGTATTCCTAGTTCGTGCTTCTAGAGTCTTAAATCTATGTGTTCTTTTCACCTAACCCTCTTATTGTGGTTATAGGTATGACTACTAGAAGGGAATCCACAAGAAGAGTTGAGGAAGAAAATGCTAATGTGGGAGATCCCCCTCATGACAACCAAGCTCCTCCGCAAGGCAATCAAGTTCCTTCATAAAAGCAAGCTACTTTGGATAACCAAGCTCCAGTCATTCCTCCACCTATGGCAGATGGATAGATAAGGACGAATTTTCTAAGTTTGTATCAAGATATGACTACTCAAGCATATGCGGTGACTACTCAAGTGAAAGCCATGAAGGCTCAAGCAAATCGGGATGTTGGACCCTGAGTGAACCCAAATGTTGGTACCATGGCTTCACGTTTGAGAGACTTCACTAGGATGAATCCTCTTATGTCCTTTGGTTCTAAGGTTTATGAAGACCCCCAAGACTTCCTTGATAAGGTCTATAAGATCTTGTTTTCTATGGGGGTGAGTTCTAGTGAGAAGACCGAGTTAGCCGCCTATCAACTCAAATATGTAGCTCAATTGGTTCACAGAATGGAAGGATAATAGGGCTCTAAGAGGTGGTCCGGTGACTTGGGAGATCTTTAAGGCCTTTCTTGATATGTTCTTTCCTAGAGAGCAAAGGGAAGCTAAGGTAGAGGACTTCATCAACCTTCATCAAGGAGGTATGAGTGTGAAGGAATACTCTTTGAAGTTTATTAAGCTATCCAAATATGCTTCCTCTTTGGTTTCCAATGCTAGGGATGAAATGATTTGTTATGTAAGGGGCATGTCTGAAGAGCTTGAAGAAGAATGTCGCGCGGCAATGCCTCATGACAATATGGATCTTTCTAAGTTGATGGTTCATGCTCAACAATTAGAGGAGAGTCAGCTAAAGAAGAAAAATAGGGATGCTAAGAAAGCAAGATCTTTTGAAAGTGGTTCCTCTAAGGGTATGCTTCACAGTCAAGACAATCCTAGGTTCAAGAAGATGTTTTCTAATAAAGTTCCCTCTAAGTTCCCCAAGGCTCGCAATGATAGGGTGTATAACCCTAAATCTCAAAAGGGAAGAGGTGTTGACTCACCAAGTGAAAAACCAACTTGTGGAAAGTGTGGTAAGAAGAATAGAGGTGAATGTCTTGTAGGATCGGATAATTGCTTTGGTTGTGGAATTAGTGGCCACAAAGTGAGAGATTGTCCTAATGTGAGGGGTCAAGAGAAGGGAAACAGCCAAGCTCAATCAAGTTGTCCTACCTCTGAAGTTCCAAAAAGGAGTCGCTTTTATGAACTCAAGGCAAGGGGTGAACAAGAGAGTTCTCCCGATGTGGCGACCTGTATGTTACAAGTCTTTTATATTAATGTTTATGATTTACTTAATTCCGTTTCTACCTTGTCTTTTGTTAGTCCTTTGGTAGCTAGAAAGTTTGATGTACTGCCTGATATCCTAAGTGAACCTTATATGGTGTCAACTCAAAGATTTAATAGGCAAAAGTTTTATTCAACCTAGTATTTCTCCATGGGGTGCTCCGGTGTTATTTATGAAAAAGAAGGATGGTACACTTAGGATGTGCATTGATTACCGTCAACTCAATAAAAACACCATAAAGAACAATTATCCCTTCCCTAGGATTGATGATTTGTTTCATCAACTCCAAGGTGCGAGTTACTTTTCAAAAATTGATTTGAGATCGGGATATTACCAACTTAGAGTGAGAGGTGAGGACATTCCTAAAATGGCTTTTTGAACTAGGTATGGTCACTATGAGTTCAGAGTCATGTCTTTTGGGTTGACTAATGCCTCTGCGGCATTTATGGACCTAATGAATAGAGTGTTCCGAGATTACCTTGATGCATTTTTAATTGTCTTCATTGATGACATCTTGGTATATTCTAAGTATGAGGATGAGCATATGGGCCATTTGAGGGTTGTATTGCAAGTCCTCAAGGAACAACAACTCTGTGCTAAGTATAGTAAGTATGAGTTTTGATTAAGATTGGTTGCATTTCTTAGCCATATTATCTCAAGTGAGGGTATAGAGGTTGACCCTAAGAAGACGAAAGCGGTCAAGAATTGGCCTAGACCTCTAACTCCCACCGACATAAGAAGTTTTTTGGGTCTAGCCGGGTACTATATAAGGTTTGTCGATGGATTTGCATCCATTGCATCTCCTTTGACAACTTTGACCCAAAAGAAAGTGAAGTTTGAGTGGTCGGAAGCTTGTGAAAGAGGCTTCCAAGATTTGAAAGATAAGCTTACCTCCGGTCCGGTGTTGACCTTACTGGAGGGTAATGAAGGTTTTTTGATGTATTGTGATGCTTCCCAAGTAGTTTTGGGGTGTGTCCTTATGCAACATGGCAAGGTGATAGCTTATGTTTCTAGGCAACTCAAGGTGCATGAGAAGAACTATCCAACTTATGACCTCGAATTAGCGGCAGTAGCATTTGCTTTGAAAATATGGAGACATTACCTATATGGTGTTCATATTGATATGTATACCGACCACAAGAGTCTTCAATATGTGTTTACTCAAATGGAGTTGAATCTCCGACAAAGAAGGTGGTTGGAACTTTTGAAGGATTACGACATGAGTGTCCTATACCACCCCGGCAAGGCTAATGTCGTTGCGGATGCTCTAAGTGGTATGACTATGGGTAGTGTGTCTCATATTGAGGAGTGTAAGAAAGACCTAGTGAAAGATGTTCATAGATTGGCCCGGTTGGGTGTTCGACTAGAAGATTCTTCAAATGGGGTTTTGTGGTGCATCATAACTCCGAGTCATATTTAGTTGTTGAGGTGAAGTCTAACAAACACCTTGATCCTCTATTGATGGAGTTAAAAGAGTCGGTACTTGGTAAGTTGAATGAATCTTTCTCCCAAGGGGGATGGTGTTTTAAGGTACCAAGGGAGGTTATGAGATTAGTGGAATATATAATAACATATATATAAAGGGTATGGATAAAAAAAATAAAGAAAAAAGATAAGGTCAAAAAAGGAAAATAATTTATATATTTTTTAAAACTAAAACTTAAATTATAAAAATAAATTATACATAACGGTTAAATATTTTAAATTAGTGGGATCACTTTAAAATTTATTTAAATTTTATCATTTCATTTTGTGTTATGGAAGGTTACTAATAGTTCCAAAAAATATCGGTAACTAACTTTTTTAAAAAATATTTACTATTAAAAAAATAAAAATGTTAATTACATCGAATAGATCATTATTTTTATTTTTATTTTCAGTTTTTTAATCATATTTTAATTTTAATTAAAAAATTTCTTCTTTGATTATTTTATTTTCTGTATTAATTGATATTTTTTAGTATTTTATTAAGATTTATATTTTCACAATTTTTTAATCATAGTGATGGATAGCTATTTAGTCTAATTTTAGTTTTTATTAACGTGAGGATTTATAAATTTTAGTTTGATAACATTTTATTTTTCAGTATTTATTTTAAATTAAAATTTAAATTTGAAAAATAATGATATAAATAATTACGTCAAATTAAAATATGTTTTAAGATTATTTTTTCCATATGTACCTCACCTTTAACCATATATAAGTATATAAATGGATTTTTTTATCAATTGATCTTTTAACCAATCAAAAAAATATAAATCACGAACTAAATATTCAAATTACTAAAAATAGATTGATACACTTTTAGTTATTATTAATCGTTGATATTTGCTTATGCTTATTAATTAATATTTATTTATGTTTATAAGTTTTAAAAAAAGTCCCTTTATAAATTTTGTATAAATAAATACATTAGTGAAATATTTACATCAAAATCTAAATATAGAATATGTAGATAAAGACTATTAGGGAACTCTTACCGTTAAAAGTGTAAAACAATTTATTTTTTTTCTATTTCTATTTATGCATAAAATATTTTTGGCCATATAACTTTTTTCCTTCTTCTTTGAATGTAACTTTGTAGTTGTTGAGACAAAGTCACTATAATCAACTTCATACTGTTAAACAAAAAAAAATAAAAAATAAAAATTCATACTTAGAATTAACACTATAAGTGAGATTTGATATATAGAGCATTAATAACAATTTAATATATGAAATTTTGCATATGGAGTGAAAGTCATGTTATTTTTGTTCTTATAATGGAATTGGCAATTGTGAAAAGAAGTTGAATTCGTGTAATATTCTTAAGAGATGTTATAACCACAATCTGGATAGACCAATTTTTAGTTAAATTATTAATAGCTATTGATGAGTGCACATGATGGGATAATGGGTTAATAATGAGGTAATTATTAAAGGAGGTAAGAATTTGGAGGATAAGTTATCAATTAGCAGATATTATTCGTACAAGAAGATTTATGTATTAATTTTGTGTTTTCGGTGGTTTAAGCAATATCACCTAATTTGATTTTTCTTTTAAATTTTTTTAGGATTATTTATTCAAGTTTTGAAATATTGTGATATATAATTAAATATTAGGTGTATTATACTACATGAAAATTATTAGGGTTATAGAAAATATGATAGTTCGGGTCAAGATTTATGAAGTTTAATAGTTGATTATAAATGTTAGTGAATTGTTAAGTCAAGGCTAAATGCATAGTAATGTAGGTGATGTTAGTTTCGTAATCTTATTGTGAATATATACTTGAATAGATTACACTGATTTGGGAGCTTTATGAAATGGGAAGGCTTAAGTCCCAGAGTGATTGTTCGACTATTTAAGGCAAGAGATTTCTAAACTCTTGCTAAGTGTATGGAATGCGTGTATTTCCTTGTGGTATATGTTTGGGAGTAATGGGATTTGGAGGGGTTGACTTGTCCACCTTGATTAATTTTAATGATAAAAATGGGTAATAAAAGACAATGTGATTAATTATTTGTATATGATGTGTTGAGAATGGTTCGAGTACCGTTGTTATAATGGGAAGGACTATTACTATAGAATGTGGATTGTAACTCGGGAATGCCAAAACATGTGGTAATTGACTAATCTCTTATGGATTTGATTTATTATGTGTGATTGTATTCTTTACTGGACCCGTATAATTATGATAATTGAGGTGATTATATGGCATAGTGACATTTGCTTTATTGAGATCTTGCATCATCTTCTTTATTTGATATCATATAATGCACATGCATTGACATGAGACTGCGTATGAGTAAAGGTCTAACACGTGGAGATCGTCCTTGTTGAGATCGAGTTATGATTATTTGGGCACGTGGACATCGTCCGTGCCATAGAAAAGTTATGATTATGATTTGGCACGTGAAGATCGTCCGTGCGAGATTTTGTTTGATTTATGATAGTGCATTGGAATCGTCTAAACAGACACGTGGAGATCGTCCGTGTCGGTATATTGACGTCGCGAGTCCCCCATGGGTCATGAACACTCGATGTATTTTCGAAGAGTATCATTATATACGGTTGAGAGAGAAATTGGTATTCTGAGGCATATCACTTCATGGTGTCATGTTGCATTGCATCCCGTGACATTCTTCATTCTTGAAGATTATGTGTTTTGTTAGTGGTTGAAAAGTACTTGTTATTTGATTTCCTCTATTTGACGAACTTGATATTGTGTGTTGCTGATATTGTGAGTGTATTTTTGTGAAAGTTGTGATTGTTGAATGTTGAGTTTGTAGTTGAGGATGAATTAATTTGTTAAAATGATTTTGATGAGTTGGGTGCTGTGAAAGTTGTGAACAGTTAGGTGGTTGATTTTATGCAGGTTGTAGTTGTGGAGGTTCGGTTGGTGTGTAAGGAGTACTCGTAATTTATCCCCTTATCATGCGTTTAGAAGTTTACTTGCTGGGTACCGTGTGGTTTGATACTCATCTCTTGCTACTACAATTTTTTTGTAGGTTACTAGCCCGGACTTTGTAATATTTCTCTTCTCCTTGTTTGAGGCTTCTTGGAGATTTGTGAGGTAGTTGTTTTTCGTCTCAGCGGACTTTCTTTCTCCTTAGTTATGACCTTGTTCTATTCTAGAAATAAGTTCATTTGAGATTAGCGATTCTTTGAATTAATTGTAATACTTTAGAGGATTATACACGTGACAACCAGATTTTGGGGGTATTTTGAGTAAATTATGAAATTTCCGCATTTTATTGTAGTGGTCGAGTTTTAGGCTAATTTGTCTTGGTGGGATAAGACGAGTGTCATCACGTCCATTTTTTGGGTCGTGACAAAATGATATCAAAGCACAGGTTCATAGGTCTCACGTGTGCACAAGTCGAGTCTAAGTAGAGTCTTGAGGATCAATACGGAGACGTCTGTACTTAGCTTCGAGAGAGTATAGTGACTTTTAGAAAAAAGCTTCTCTTCTTGAATCTTTATCGCATGTACTTGGTCCGTTCTGATTTTTATCGCTTTACTCCATTCTCTCTCACTTATGTGTTGACTCGTGCATAGTTCCTCAT